GCCGAAACGGCGGCCACAACAACGCGACCCGCAGGCGCCATCTGGATCTGTCTCGGTGAAACGCGTGACGGCCTCTGGGAATGCGCTAAGCCGACACGACAGGAACGACACGACAACAAATATTTCTTCCGCATACGCTGCGAAAAAAAAAAAAAAGAGAGAGCGTCACGCCACTTCAACTCTCCGACGCGACACCTAAGGCGTGCGGACAGATGTTCTGCATCGACAGAAAAGGAGCCGCGCCTAATGTGCCGAGGACCGTGAACGGTTTCGCGTATGTGCCGCACACGGACAGCTCTCGCCGCAAAACTTCGCAGCGCCCTCGACAGGTGGCCTGGGTGTCTCGCTGACTGCTACGGGAGGCGCGTGACTCGAACTGCAAAAACTGCACGACGGGACGACTGAAACGAACTCAGTCCAGAAAACTAATCCCATGGCGACGATTGAAATTACGCAATTTAGAAAGGGAGGCAATTATTACAAGAAGAAAACTCAAGAGCACCCAAGAGAAATACGAGAAAAAACATAGTGAAGAAGGATATTATACAATATGAATTAGGAACAACCAACTTCTAAAGCTATGGTATTAAATTCTCCTATATAACAATTCAACAAGTTTGAAATTAGTGCAATGGAAAAAAGCAACTGCAGTTCATTTGTACTTCGGCAGTTGCTCTGCACACTTTCCAGATATTCACGAACAGGAGCAGATTAAAGTGCGCGCAATCACAACACCGGCGGCGAGACGGGACTGCACCACTAATAATATACAAAAAAGCCAAGGATAGAACGATTTCGCTTAACCTACAAAACTGTATTTTACTCAGCGCAGTCATCGATCATGTACTGCTGCAAATGCTTACCGGAATACGCGATAACATGGACAGGAACAATAGTAGTGGTGGCGTCTTGCGTGACGATAGCGGTGGTGGCGTGTCGCGACGTAGGCTTAAACCTCAGTGCGCAGAACATATGCGACCGTTCGGCTACGTATGTTGACCAGCACCTGATCTACAAAGAGAGCTTGGAGCTACATCAGTCGAACACATAAAAACATACTGAGGCAGCCACAAATTTACGGAGTGTTGCTACGTAAAGTTCAGGAAGCAAGCAGATTAAAATGCATAAATATAAATTGTGGGTCTTTAAACTGGGACCGAATTGAAGGAAGTCGCGATAACGACTACGTGTAAACAAACTTGAAACTTAACGCACTTGAGGCTTTTAATAAGCGCCAGATTGTGCCCTCTCAGGAAACGCCAACATTTTTCCTTTCAACTTTTTTTACTAGCATTTCCCAAAACGAGTGCCCCCTCAGCACTTTAATCATTCCGTTTCTTTTCAAGGGGGACACCAAAAGCCAGCGTACACATTAGCACAGCAAGAAATCGCACAGCAATAACAAACAATTGAAACTCACTCATGAACTCATGAAAATAATAATACTGATGCTCAAATCCCTTCTCTTCCTGAATCGCTTCTCGTCAACGAACTTTCACATCATCGTATCACGGATACGTAAAAAATCCGCATTTTTAACGGTTGCACTTCACGGACACCCTGTCCCTAGCGCCACAGTGGCGAAACGGTATGCTGAAGTCTCCCCACGCAATTGTATTTCTCAGGCTTTTTGTTGTTGTTGTTGTTGTTGTTGTTGTTGTTGTTGTTGTTAGTGTTGTTGTTGTTCTGACGATCGCAGTTGTTCAAAATTCCCCTACAAAACGCCTCCCCCCCCCCCCCCCCCCGCCTTTTCCGTTAAAACGGTAGACGACCGCACACACACAAAAAAAGGTGCAATGGAACCACATCGAAAAAGGCAACTGTGAGACAGTACAACGTACGCTTAATCGGACGGACTTTCTATTCCATGTCTTGTCGCAGCCATTTTCCTTTTGCGTCACAAATACTGAAATTAGCCAGCCAGTCCAACGCTTTAGCTTGATATGAACGAACGCCAGCGCATCATCCTGAACTATTCTCTTTTGAAAGAGATATGAATGGACTTAGTAAACATCAGCTCCAAGAACAACTTTTCCGTTTCATTGTTTGGCAGCTAGGTCCTAAGCAAAAACACATCGATGATTACACGTGATAACTTGAAATCTAACGCGGTCGCATTTCATGATGCATACTCTCCAAAGCAGATTACATACAGCTTTAAACGCATAGCATACTGCAGCGACAGAGTACGAACAAACTACGGTACACAAAGGCTATGATCCTTCAATTGCTGAATGCACATCCCGCAATTACAACCATGAATAATGAAAGAGAGCCGTTCAGTAATTTCGTTAAAAAGCACACACATATCTAGTAATGCTTCAGAAATAATTTTTTTTCATCTTCCTAAGAAATCGCACAGGTTTTCGTTAAAAACGGCGTGTGAAAATATCTGTCGCATTTTAAGTTAGTGAGTAGTAACGGCATGGCTGTTATTTAAAAAGTTTGGGCATTTGTGCATATTCTGTGTTTGTGTGTCTTTGAAAACAAAAGATTATTACACAATACAATTACTAAAAACTAAGTCTTACAAACAGGTCTCGAAGTAAAAAAACTTTTCAAACAATGCTTTATGAACTGCTATAAAGATTGTTAAACTGTCGCTACTCCTTTGTTTAATATCATTTTAACATGTGTACATTACTGCTCCTTGTGTGCCTCATTGACTGGGACGGGTGCACCTTGTCATGCATTAATTTCTCTTTTTGCCCACCCTGTTCCTTACATGTCTACACTATACTCTACAATTGATTTATGATAACTGATTCAATACACTTTATTTATTTATTTATGATGAGGTGCAAATATGGGCCACGCTGTAATATATGCCATTGTAATTCAAGTGAAAGCACGTATTGTAGTTTGTAGCCCGTATTGTAGTAGAATGGAGTACCATGACAACAGGCGGCCGTTCGCAGTTGGTTCCCGTAACGTAGCACACACGGGTGCACTAAAATCTCGTAAATAAGGCCTCAAGACGAAATGTGCACAACTCACGCTTAACGTACGCTCTCTCAATTATTCGCGCATAATAAGAAACGAAACAGCGACAATGTCGGAGAGAAATTTAACAGCATTATTCGACAGCTATATCGTGAGCAGTGATAACATATTGTCCGAATTAAGCACACAGACTTCAGAATGCCTGAAGAAAGCTAAACCTCATTTACCTCATGTATTTAATTATCGCATGAGCATGTCCTGTCACAATTATGCTACTGTGTCTCCAGTATTGCGAAGGATATTATTTCTTGCTTTTTAATAGTAATCAATATATACTCTACCACATATGTTAGCCACAGTTCTAATTATTCCTGTTGGCATTGTTCGAAAATTACAATCTCCCCAATCCAGCTTGGGCCCGAGCAGGGCCTGCAGTAATTGTCCATAAATAAATAAATGTATAAAAATAATTGAATATCGCTTAGTAAGCTCTCGAAAAGGAATATATCTGAACTGTTCAATTTTATACCTCTTATATTACGAACCACCATGCGAAGAAATAACCCGAAGAAAGCAAACCATAGGCTGCTCAAAAATTTCCTTTGCAGCTAGCCTGTAAAGCATACTTCTCTGCACGTATACCATCATTGCGGCGAAGCTGCTCTTCTCGCTGCAGGCATCATCTGAGTGAAAACCATTTTCATGACCTTACGTGTTTAAACATCGTTTAGGAATTTGCAAAAACAAAAAAGAAAAGTATATATAAAACAAAAATCGGTCACATGTTATCCATAAAAATAAGGCAGTTATGATTAGGTATCCCGTGGATATCAAAAACAAACATCTTGAAACTCTTTGTTGAAGCAGAAAATTCGCTGTTTAGCGCAGAAACGCGACCCAAACCCCGACGACGTCTACATGCTGTCATTTAAAATATATTCCTATGCATGCATGTAGTGGAACGCAAACGTTAAGGGGGCGGGGGGGATATGTAATTCAAGCCAAAGCTTAACTTGTGCAAAAAAATACGCTAAGAGTTTTAAAGCGTATTTTAGCGAGGTGCGTTTTCTCCGCATCCATCTATATCGTTAGTGTACGAGATATCTTAAAAACGACTACTTGAAGAATAGAAATAAACGTTTACGAAAAAACTTTGCAAATAACCTAATAAGTCTTCCGCTGTCGCGTCTTTACACAGCTTCATGTACAATTACAAAAAGGCCGCAGTTATATTTGAAACTTGCCTTAAAAATTGTTAAGCAATGCTTCTACTCAGTGTCCATGAATGAGTATAGCTCTGAAACTATCGGTGCATTCTCAGAAAAAACATGCGCTATCATAAAGAGGGCTTACCTATGCCGCAGATGAAATCTTGCGAGGAAAGTTCTAAAGATTGCTTAGGAGGCTATAAATTACTACAGAAAATAATATGAGGTGCACTGGCCCAGCCCTCAGAACAAATGCGGATGGGTGAAGAGTGATTTTATCATCTTTGAACAGAGCTGGGATTCTCTTTTTGCAATACATTCCGAAACCCAATGAGTCGGTGTGGAAAAGCACACTGTATATGCATGTTTGACTTCAGGTAGCTCATAAGGTTCCTCGCGGCTGTCGGAGCCGGACGTATTGTTTGATGGCGAATATATATTCTAATCACTGAAAGAACCCTCTGAAATTTAAATGTACAGCGACTCGGAGAAACACACGGGCGGTTCACAACGTATACTTAACAAGCAAGGTCAGCAGTCAACATTAGAAGGGAGAGGTAATCAATAAAATTCGTAAGAGTAGCATCTCTTGTATGGAAATGCACCAACCGATGTCGTCTACGAGTTGTATTTTTTTACATGAAATATAACTCCTCGGGTATTAACGCCTGTTTCATTTAATAGTAAATACCAATGTATGGGAAGATTACTGGAACAGATTTTCGGGAAGAGGTCGATGAACTGAAACATACCACGTACCTACTTGTCGAGCGCGAAACGAAGACATCGCGAAGAAGACTCGAAGGACAAGCGACAAAATGCTGGAATGGCGATAGAAAACCGACTCACCTTAGGGTGCTGCAGTGTGTCGCAGCCCAAACCATTGCACTCGGAGAACGACTTGGGCATCCAGAGAGAACCGTTTGTCACACTACCATTCACGGCGAACGGAGGACTCTGTGTCGAAAGCGAGGCCGACCTCGGGGGTGACTGCGGTCCCGTGGTGGGCAATGAAGGTGCCGAGGACGACCTCTGGTCCCAGCTGGTTAGGCGCACAACGACACTCACTGCGTTGCTCTCAGAAAGGGTGCTGCTGGACGACGAGGAAGATTGGGACGACTGCATAAGCGTACAGTCCAGGTCCTCTTGTTGCCCGGCAGTGGCCCTGCTGGCTGCACTCGACGAAGAGTTCTCGTCCCTCTCCTCGATGTCGGACATCCACACCTTCGACGATATTGCCACAGGCTGCTGGGCGGTGCTCTTCCGGCGGTACGGTGACCGCGTCGGAGAAAAAGCCACGGGTTGAAGGTGATGCTGCTGTGGTTGCTGCTGCTGATGCTGCTGTCCTTGCAGATGAGGCGAACCTTGGTGAACGTACAACTGGGCGTGGGATGGTGAGGAGCTCGCCCCATTCACCAGTCTCGGGGAACGGTACGCCGCGGGAGATCCACTGGGCGTCACATGCCGCATGATTCCGGCGACCTCGGCGGAGTTCGACTTTCGCACTCGAGGCGAGGCGCGGACATCGTCAGAGACGTCCTCAACCGCGTCCTCGGTGGAATGCGACCGCATGGTGACCAGTAGTTTGCCATTGGAAGCTCTGCCGACAGAAGGGCTTACGGGATAGGCGGTACTCTGCACTGGCGCTGTTCTTGTGGTGGCGCCACACGCCAAAGGCAGCAAGTGCGAGGTGCTGTCGCGAACTTCCCGCACCGGTGACTGCAGCGCCGCCGCCACGGGTTCTTCACACGTGTCCTTTCGCAAGCTGTCGAACCACGTCTCAGCCGCACCAATCGCTAGCCCACTCCTGGACTGCGGTTCATTGGTCAACCGGCCCGGCAGCTTGGACTCCGCGAACATGGCGAGCTCGTTAAGAAGTCTCGCGGATTCGCGACTTGTGTTGCCGACCCAGCGGGACAGGGTGGACTCCGTGAGCTGCGGAGGCGGTGGTAGCACTTTGCAACCAGTCTGGTCGGTGATGTCGCGGTCCTTGAACATACCGGGAGGCGAAATACACGTGTTGGCCAACAAGAGGGCATCCACCACAGGGTCGCTGGACGGCGGCTGAGGAGACCTCGCTTGGACGCCTCGCCACGGGGAAAGCGGGAGGACGTCCGCTGGTCTCACGTCTTTGCGAGGCACAGGCTTTGGAGAGAACGTGCACGTAGAGGAAGGTGACTTTGCGGAGGTGGGACCGTTGAGTAGCGTTGCTCGGTCTTCGTTCACATTGGTGCCCTGGCAAGGCGGTGGGGGCACCTGACGTCGGGAGACCACGGGTTGTCTCGGATTTGGCACGATTTCCGGCGCGGCTTCCTTGGAATTCTTGGAAGGTGGCCTGCAGCACGGAGGCGGCGGAGGTGGCACCACGGTAACGGCACTTGCGGTAGAGTCGCGAGCAGGTCCGTTCGCTCCGGAAGTAACTCTGCCGTCGCAACCCTTAGTTCCGTTGAGCAGCACAGTGGACACGCGAACACTAGAGGGCACTCCATTGCTGCACTCCTGCAGAGGTTCTGCAAACTTGACACCATTCTTTGCGGGCTTCGCGCGCTCCTCGGACGCCTTGGTTCTAGTTCTGGGTAGAGTGATTTGCGAAGCCTTCGGACCCGTCGACCACCGATGAATGGACGAGTTGCGAATAACAGGTATGGTGACAGGTTTGACGGGCATTTTCTCCGAAACTGAGGCTGCTTTTCTGAACATCGACGACGACGGCTGAACGTGCACATCCCGCGCATTTATGGAGTGCGACCTCGGGGGCGGCTGACGCCTCGCCGCAGGCGCTATGACGATCGGCTGCTGCTGCTGCTGCGGCACTCTCCTTGCTCGAGCGTCGACGACAACGTGCGAGCGAACTCCCTCCTGCTCGCTAACGGCGCCGCTCCCGACCGGTATCTTGCGAGTCCTAGGCTTCGGTATCGCCGATGGCTGCGACGCGCCGCTCGTACTCACCACTCTCAGTTCGCGTGCGGCGAAGTCACCACCCGTGGGCTGAAGCGCGTAGACGACGGGCGGCTCGCGAAGCTTGGGTCTCGACGCAGCGTGCAGGTCGACCTGGATGATCTTGGCTTCCTCCACTTTGCCAGGTGGGTGCGACGTCTGCGACGAGGAAGGCAGCGGCTTGGTCGTTTCCAACTCATGCCTGCCGTACGACGTCGTGGTCCGTGTCTGCAACGAGCCGGACCGGGCGACCCTTTTCGAGTTGTTTCTGCGGTCGGCGTCGACGCATCCAGCACTGGCATGCGGCTGCGGCAGCACCCGCGACATGTCGCCGTGCGTGTGAGCGGCGTCGCCCACCACCGTGGCGGCTAGCGAGTCCTGTAGTACGCCTCCGGTTGACGATCCCGGCCACGCATGACCAGCCGCCGGTGGCCGTTCCGTGCGGCTGGCTCGCTGGTCCGCGGCGCCGGGGCAGGCGTCATCCGACGCTGCTCCCTGCTGCTCACCAAAGGGCGTAACGCGCCGCCGGGGGCTGTGCGCGCTGCACTCGCAGCGCGTGGGCGGAGGTGTGGACAGCAGCGCGGAGGCCGTCGGCTCCGGGGGCAAGTGCACCGGAGGTGCTGCCATTGGCTGCTGCGTTGGTGGCGGCAACGGCGGTTCAGCGTTGCCGGCCATCGGCATAGAAGTTCGTGGCCGGTATGTGCCGAACACGAGGTGCTCGATGTTCGTATAGCCGGGGTCCATTCGCAGGTCGACGGCGCCCCGCTTGGAGCCGGGCTTCTTGCGCACCTTGATGTTGTCGGCGAGCCGGAGAAGCCGGTTCCGGTTCCGGGCGATGCTGTCCAGCGTCGCCTGGTCCACGGTCTGCGCCGACGACGACATTGTGACCGTCAGCCCCGCCTGCGATAAAAAAAAAAAACATTGAGGTCGGTTGCAGAATCATTTTAGACACAAGCAAAGCTCAGAAATAGGTGATAAGGCACGAAAAACGAAATATAAAGCGACGTTCAGAAAGGAAGAACGTGAGATATAGTGATGGATTGCAGTGAACCTCTACAAGACCGGAGCTGTTTACTGGGCCTGGGTTCACGTTTTTATTTCCCCATAAAATACCTTCCTTTTCTATAGGCTTCACTATGCTCGGTATACGGCGCACGTCACGCCTCATTGCGCGCTGGGCTATCGAAACTGACGTTAGTCGTCACGGGAGAGACCTTACAGGCCACGGCATTATGTCTATGATGGATTGGCACCAAGCGCACAAAACGACTCCCGTCCTCAATCCTTTTTTTAGCCATGTTTTTTTCCCCTTCAGAGTCACTCGATTTCTAAAGTGGTATTATTGAAAGCACAGTATTGATATCAAATTCGAAGGATATATATATATATATATATATATATATATATATATATATATATATATATATATATATATATATATATATATATATATATATATGCACTCTGCGCCTATATTCTTTTTTACACTGTTACCCCTTTTCCAGCTAGTCCCAACTGCGTGGCAGGTCGACAAACTGTCGAGCGAAATGCAAGCAGAAAAAGTAAACGCCGACGAGTCAGTAGATTTCTAGTAGAACAAACAGAAACAGACCACAAAACCATAACGCCATACATTCAGACAATCGCTCCACGGTAACTAGTCAAGAAAACACGAAAGTTGGCACTTGACAAACACGAAGAGCTTCATTATATGCCTATATGATGACGATAAAGATTTGTTCCTTCTCAACCACACTCTTACAATTTTAAACAATGCGATGCTACTGGTATCCGCAAAATCATAACGACGTACGCTTTTCGTCCTAAAGAACAAAAAAGTTCACCTAAAACACCTAAAAAACAAAAAGTGTGAATAAATATTCGCACGAGTTGATTCCTAGGAATCGAAACGAAAGAATAGACGTGCCTATCATAATAATAATAATAATAATAATAATAATAATAATAATAATAATAATAATAATAATAATAATAAAGCAGATGAAGAAGAACAAAATACATGCAATGATTGGCGATTTCTTGTCGCATCTTTTCGGCATTATACGAATAGGCTCTTAAAATGACACTATAGTTGAAACTCGTGCTCTAATGCTAACAGAAAAGCAGGCCGACAGGAAAATAAAAATATCGCTCATTCATCGTATTCCAGCTTTGACTCCAGCTACTTTCATATCTGATCGGTTTCGAAAGAGCAGCCCATTTCGGTGCGTGAAAAAAAAAAATTTGAAAATGTGAGATCAACACGAGAAAACATAAGAGGGCTCGAAAATAGTCCACACTGCCTGTAGTCTAGAAAAACGCCGACAAAGGAAGACGAGAAGTAAACAAATATAAGAGAAATCGACAGCCATGAAGTGACGCAAAACCGGAGACAGCCGCGTCAACAACGGGTCCGACATGGTCGCGGAGAAGGCGCGGGCACATTCTTCCGTGAACCGTGACCGCTGCAACAGCGGGTGCAGCAACGCGACGAAGGAGAGCGGTGGCAGGCAGCGATCCGAAACGTCCTTTTAGCGAAGCTGGCACCCTCCGTGAGCAGCAAAAATAAAAGCACTGAGCGCGCCATGCTTGAAAGAGGCAGGCGAGGAACGAGCTTAACCTGCCCGCGGCTGCAGGCTCTCTTGTCTCCGGGACTCGGTTCGACTTTGTCCCGGGCAGACAAGCGTAGCGCTTGTCCATTGTGCGCGCACAGGTCGCCCGTTGCGCGAGCGGAGAAAGTGCTCGGCACGCCGGATAATCACCGCCCCGTAGGAGGAGGAACAGGTAGGCCGCTGCCGTATAAGCCAAACCAAAGCAGCAGAAGCTTCGCAGCGTCGCTTGACAAAATAATCATCCCACTGCCACGGTGCAATGCCGACAATATCAAAAACTGACGAGAAGCAAAGCAAAAACGTTAGCGCGATAGACGAAGGTATACAAGAAAACACGCACAGTCGGCATCAAACGAACGGCAGAAAGAAACGTCTTTATTGTCGCGTATAACGCGCCACCACGATGTGCTCAACAAGCACGACCAAATGGCATAAAACACAATAAGTCTGACCCCTGAGGTAACTAGCACATAAATCTACTCATAAGGGTATTTCTGGCATTAAATCTTCCACTGGAGGGGGTCGGCCTGGTCGGTAATGAAACTCTCGACCCCGTCAATGTCTACGCGGTTGAAGAACCACGAGTAAACAAGAAAAAAAATGTAGCAGGTTCCTTGAGGAAAGACGAAGCACTGATATCAAGCAATAGCCGATGTACAGACGGAATTACACTTGTCGAGAGCGGTGGGGCGCATGGCTGCGTCCACAGTTGCTACTTAAGGTTAGCTACAAGCCTCCGTTCATACTTGAATTGTAGCACAAGGATCTAGTATGCAGTATGACTATGCTAAATATCATTATGGCGTTAGTCTTTGCATAATTCTGCAGAAAACAGCAGCTGAAGCGGCCCGCTGGGCGCCTATAGACAAGTGCGGTTCGGTATGTACTCAGATGTTACGCCCGGTTGCTTTCGTTCTGCCAGAATTATTCTCTATACGGCACAATAATAACAACTTGCGGGGTCTCGTGATAACGAGGCGCGCCGCAGTGAACGGCTCCGAAAACTTCGACCACCTGGTGTTCTTCAACGTGCGTTGAGATGGCACAGTACACGGGCCACTATAGCATTCCGCCCATGCGGAACTGTAACTACCGCGGACGGGAGCGAGCCTTGGACCTTCTGGTAAGCAGCCAAGCACAGCAGTTTACCCGCGCGGCGTAAAGCGTTCCGACGCTGTCCCCATAGAGTTTCCCAAAATTAACTAGAGGGCACTGTGGCGCTGCGATCGTTCAGCGACTATGGGAACGATGGGTAGTACACACATTTGCCTAGTCTTCGTACTTGCGGGCGGCGAATCGCACTTGCGGCTTCGTTTACTGCTGCGTTTCGGTTTTGTTTTGAAGGGAAAAAACAAAGCCTTTTGAACTTGGTGACTCGATTCAAAATGATAAGCCTGAAAGAATAAGGTTGTGAAGCGCAAACACTGAAAATTCGCTATATTTTGTGAAAAAAAAAAAACAGCTCTAAGCCACACGAACACACACGGAGGCAGAAGCAGGCCAGAAGTACGAAAAGTAGACAAATGTGTGTACTACCCATCATTCCCATGCTCGCTGAAGCGCCGTGCGTTGCAGCTCCCATAGACACTAGCGCCAGAGTTCCCTCTATAGTGTATAGTAGGAAACTCTATGGCTGTCCCCAAAGAGCCATCAATAGGGTCAGCTGGTATACTGTCCACACTTTCTTCGTTGCGTAGTACTTTAGCCGCGAGCGCGCCCTCACTTGTGTTCCATATCGCTCACGTGCGCTGCCTTGTAGACCGATCGTCGATTTTCCCGCTTCGTCCGGTTGGCTCAGGTGAGATCACGATAAAGATTCTGTGACAAACAAACTTGTTGGGTCCCAATACTGGGCACCTTAAAATTGAACGCTTATTATTTTCGTCAGATTAATTGTCAAACCAGGCGGGTGCCCGAAGTGAGGTTCGTCGCACTCTGAACCGCGAATGTTGTGGTGACATGGACACAATAGTTAGATTAAGGAAAAGGCGAATTGCGTCTTTTCCGGACAACGCGGGTTTTGATAATACTTCACGTGAGAGCCCCTTGTAGGCGAAATTGGGGGAGGGGGGGGTATAAGTCCACACGGTAGCGGTGAAAAGAATTGTTTTCTGTAAGTTATGTATACACGGAGAGTGGTTCTCCTGGGTGAAGGCCAAAACCAGACTGATTAGGTAAACAAACAAATAAGTGAGATAAGCAACGATGGCTTCTACAAAAAAAAAAAAAAAAGATGGAAACTGGACAATTTCCACCGAGTGCGCATAAATATGCTCCATGGCTGAACGCGGGATGCTAAACATGAGCAAAGAATGAGTAATTCCGTGATCGTAACAAATGATGATACGTCGGGTTTGACGTCCCAAACCCACCATATGATTATGAGAGACGCCGTATAAAGTGGAGGGCTCCGGAAATTTCGACCACCTGGGGTTCTTTAACGCGCGCCCAAATCTGAGCACACGGGCCTACAGCATTTCCGCTTCTATCGGAAATGGAGCCGCCGGAGCCGGGATTTCATCCCGTGACCTTCCGGACAACAGCCGAGTATACCTTAGCCACTAGACCAGCGCGGCGGGGCCACGATCGTAACAGAGCAGTCGGTAATGAGAACAGCCTCGACGACGCATTCTACCGCAACGTTTCTACTTTATTTCCTTACACGCACACTTTCCAAGTTTTCAGTCAAGTCACGAGTCCGTCAAAGTGAGGAACGTGCACGGGCTGAAAGAAAGAGTCCTGCCTCCGTGTAATTTGTACAGCCAATCAGAGCAAACTTTTAAGCGCAGCGTAAAGTTTTAGGCGCAGGTACGCACAGCAAGCTCACGTGGACACGCGCACCTGGTCCCGGCGAGCTGAGAGTTCATAGCGACAAAGACAATGGGTTCAGTGCGTGTATACGCGCAGTGACCAGGCAGCACGGCTATCTGGTCAAAGTCGTGGACAGCGACACAAAGGAAGCTCGTTAGTGCGCCGACGCTGATGATGATGATAAGGCTACGGAATCGAGGCCCGGCGCTTTCCTTCGCCAAATAATGGCCGTCTGTCGAACTGTTAGAGAAAAAAAAAATGAACTCGGAAACTGTCGAGCATGAATAGGATACTTTACAGACTGGAAGACTAAAGAAAAGTTCGATAACTAGGTCATTGTATTTTCTGTACGAGGGTAGCGAATTGGGCGAGTAGTTGGAGAATGGTCATGACGGCCAGCGCAAACAAAAGACGAATGAGAGGAGAAAACGTTACAAGCGCTCTCTATCAACTGAATATTTAATGAAAAACAAAGAA